ACACACACAAAGTATTTTTAGAGAAAGGTAATAGGAATTCCGTGGAAACAATTGTCTGAGCAAAAGGCCCCAGTACCATGTTGCAGCAGGTGTCTGTCACCCAAAGAAGCAAATGCCAAGACAGCCTTCTCCACTCCTGAGAGGGAACTCTGTGAATGTCCAATGGTGTCTGAAAGCAAAGTGAACATACCCGTTTGAGCTAGGTATGCAGCTCTAAGTCAGAGGACACGCCATGAATGCCTGAGGCCTGATTCCCACTCTGGTGTAGAAGAAGAGTTAGTAGTGTGCTAGCACCTAGAAAACTGGCCTTTTAGTCCTCTAGAGAAGGAAACATCACAAACCTGCAGGGCTGGAGAGATGGCTCAGTGGTTAAGAGCACTGGCTGCCCTTCCAGAGGTCCTGAGTTCAATTCCCAGCAACTACATGGTGGCTCACAACTATCTGTAATGAGACCTGGCTTCCTCTTCTGGCCTGCAGGCACACATGCAGACAGAACATTGCACACATAATAAATAAATAGAACTACAGGCACTGAGTGCCAGGAACTGACCACTTTCCATAGATGTGATCACTCTTCTCAGCTCATCAATTTCCCGAGAAAATATCCGTCTGTGTGTTCTCTTGAAGAACATCATGTAACTTCAGGGCCGCTCTGAACCATCGTTCGTGTGGTTGGTGCTGGGGATCAAACCCAGGGCTCTGGTGCTGTGCTACTGAGCTACTACATCCCCAGCCCTTGGGACCTTTCATCACTAGGAATGACTTTAGTGTCGCAAAATACCACCCCCCTCCTTATACAGATGACAGGAACTCTGCCATGATGTTAGCCCCCACTTCTGGAATCTAAATCACAGACCTATATGCAGTAAGTGCCATGCCACGGACCAGAGATCTACGATGACAGGTGACACAATTGGTCACCGTAGAATGAAAGTCTGCAGGGCTTGAGCCCTAGGGCAACTGTCATGGGATGTGTGTGACATATGCTGAGCTCACCGCCTCACATCTATGGAGCTGTGCAGCCTGGTGAGGGAGGTGCAGACTGGGGAAAAGCCACTGGAGATCTAGATCTCCACTCATTCTGTCTGGAGGCATCAGCTGCTTTTCTTTGTCCGCTCCCACGACTGGAAGCTTCTAGAGGGTAGGGGTGGAGCCTTCCCCCTCCTGTCCTAAGCAGTTCACCAGGGCTGGGCACAGGCCTGGGGATAGATGATCAATGTAAGAGACCATTACTAAGCACCGTGAGGTCACAGGGGCTCAAGTGGCTTTACACTTAGTAAGCTTGTACTTATAACTTCAATTCAGAGCAGCAAAACACAAGGTCACAAACTCTCAAGTGTGCATTGGAGTCATGACACAATTCCTGGCCAACCTCCAGGCTTTCTGCATCTAACCCTGTAGGAATGCGCTTGGAAACTGCAATTTAACACACACACACACACACACACCCAACACAAATAACACAGCTAAGACTGGTTATTTGTGTGAGAGTCTGGTTCAGCTAATCATGGAATGTGCTCGGCACAGTTTTCAATCCGAAAGCTTCGAAGAACACACAGGATTTGAGTCAGGTAAATGTGTCTTGAGGCCAGAGAGGTAGCTCACTGGTTAAGAATCTGTACCGTTCTTGGTGTGGGCCTGAGTTCTGGCTCCGGCACCGGCACCGGCAACAGGCAGCTCACAACCACTTATAACTCTAAATCAAAGGGTTCCAGCACTGTCTTCTGAGTTCCGTGGGTACCTGTACTGCTGTGCACACACCCACACACAGATGTACACGTATGTGTAATTTAAAATAAACCTTTAGAAGCAAACACTCCCCCCCCCCCCGCCCATCCTTTCCTAGTAAGCTACAGGATGGACTTGCACCAGGCAGGTTTGTAAGCTGTGAGGGTGAATATGGATAAAAGCCATGGGAACAGAGGTTTGGAATGTAGTGTAGGGGGAGCAGGTCAGGAAAGAGGGATGCGGGCTGAGGGGAGTTATATTCATGAAACAAAGTGTGTAAAGCTGCAGTAGTAGCTGTGGGATTAGTAACTGTCCCAAAAATTTATAGCTGTTATTATTTTGTCAGCATGGGTCTTAAAGTATTGGGTCCCACGCATGGTATTGTTTTTAAGCATTTTAAAAAGATTTATTTACTTTTTTATGTGTAAGAACGTCTGCCTCCGTGTATGTGTGTGCGCCGTGCCCATGAGGTGCCTCCGGAGACAGGTTGTTGTTGGATGCTCTGGAGCTAGAGTTCCTGAGTGGTGAGCCCCCCGCATTGGCAGTGGGAATCTCAATTTGTCCTCCGTAATGGCAGTCAAGGCTCTTCACCACTTAGCAGAAATCTCTCTAGTTCCTCAAAGGAACCTAAAACAGAATTATAACCTGAATCTTCAGGCTGGTAGACAAAAGTTCCTTGCAGTTTCTGTGGTAGTGTATCAACTTTCCAAAAGAGCGTCAGCCAGAGAAACAGGAACACCTCTATCATCTCCAAACTGTCCCTGAAAATCCCTTTTTGGCAAGTTGCCTTTTCTAAAATGAGTCCTGGCCACCAGACTGTTTAGGTTGCCCAGATAAATCTATTCATTAAAAGGTAACAACAACAGGCATATTATGAATGGATGCATGAAGGCATACGGATATTCTTGCCAGGTCCTCGACTTGCAGGAGGAAATGAAATAGAACAAGGATGCCGCATCTTGTTTTCTACTACAGTAAAGGAAATCAAGCCAGACCTGCATCTATAAAAGAAAGAAAAGCTCTTTCTCAGTCCAGGTCTTGACATGCAGCTGGAAGTACTTCTCATCCCTAGTGTGGCCATGGAAGGGAATACGCTCTCCAGAGACATGGTCTGAACCCAAACACATCACTTTTGATTCAGGGTTCATCATCCTTTTGTTTGTTTTGTTTTGTGTTTGTCTACGCTTTCTCTCTCCAGCCTGTTAGTTAAACCTCAGGAGGACAGATGCACAGTTTTACAGGGGCCATAATCCACTTGTGGGCGGTAATGAAGAGGCCATTGTGTGTCCTCATTTACTCCAGTGTGAAAACTAGACTACTGCCTTGTAAAACAGCGTGGGACCTACACCCTGATCTCCATGGAATGCTAACCCATGGAACCACCCCAACCAGATTCATAAAGTTCATCATGATCCTAGACGATCCAGATTAGCTCTAGGCTATGTGGGATGGGCCAAAGGCCAACTGAAGGGTATAGATTGCAAAAGAGAGAATATCAGGAAAGTGACCTAAATACAGGATTTCAGGTCACGCAGGTGTGACTAATAATCAGATTCACCACTCTATAAGGCTAAGAGGATCAGGAATTCCTGGAAAAAAATCCCGTTGTATAGGCTTTTAAATCTCTCTCTCTATTGAAAAATAAAATCTGAAGCTACCACCAAGGGTTCTCTGTTCTTTTACTTCCATGCAACAAGCACGCCCTTTGTGCCTGTTGCATATAACCCTCGTGGTAGCTCCCAGCGTGCTCATGCCAGAAGCCCTGTGCAGGAGCAGCAAGGGCATTGCCGACTACTGGCATGCTGTACTTAGGAAATAGGGGATGATTTGTGCTATGTGTGAATGAGGCATCAAGGGTTAGGATGGCTCCACCCACCTCCAGAGCTCTCTCTTGGAACATCCTTGACCACGGGTGAAAGGGAGGAGAAAGCAGGGGTTTAGAGCCCACAGTGGTGGCTCACACCTTCAATCCCAACACTCAGAAGGCAGAGGCAGAGTTTGAGGCCAGCCTGGTCTACAAACCTACACAGAGAAACCCTGCCTCAAAAAAAAAAAAAAAAAAAAAAAAAAAAAACGGACAGAAGAAAAAGTTTCATCTCTAGTATTTCAAAGACAAATATTTTTTTTTTTAAACCTATTGAAAAACTAGGCGTCGTAACACAGGTCTTTGATCTCAGCACTGGCAAGGCAGAGGCAGGTGGATCTCTGTGAGTCCAAAGCCAGCCCAGTCTACATGACAAGTTCCAAGACACTGCCTCAAAAACAGGGAAGGCCGAAAGCACACGAAGCCAGACACGGTAACTCAGACCTGTAATTCTAATGCTTCGAAGGCTGAAGCAGGAGGATTGCCTTGCATTGAAGGGCAGTCTACGATAGAGAGAAAGAAAAACAAAGCTAGGGGCAACAAGAACACTAATACGGAGGTGGCACTGTGGGATCTGGGCATGCTACCGACTGTCGATTGACGGTGCTTCTTCTGATTACAGTGAAGGTCTCAAGTTGGGAGACTCATCGTCACCTGTAACTCTAACCCTTCCCAGTCATGGGACTTTGGAGGATCACTACTGTAGGCCCCAGCATCCCAACCCAGAATAGGGCTCACATGACACACCACACTGAGTGGGTGTTTGCAGGTTTAAGAAGTAAAGAGTCTGCAAGATGGGGATATACAGGGGTCGGGGTGGGGGGCAGAAGATGCCTTAATCTGGTCAACAGTCAGAGTGATGGTTTTTTTGTTGACTTATGTACCCAGGTGGCATGACCTGTTTCTGCTCACTAGGGTTGATTTCACGTGTTCTCATCACCCTAGAGTAACAACTTCCCTATGTCTGGCAAGGAGGAAGCATTGATTAAGCTGATGATCACGTACTTTTTATAAACAAGAATCACTCGCCAGAGCACACGACTGTTTCCCACACAATATTTCAAAATGAAATAGGGAAGCATTAAAAATTTTTCTTCCATAGTTGTTTTCTGTTAGATCTTTTAAAGAGTGAAATGAGCAGTTGGCCGTGTTTTGCTTCTGATGTGTTTTTTTTCCCCCTCTCCGTTAAAATGCTGAAGGATTTTTCTCCCCCTCCCCGCCTCTGTAGGAGGATAAAAAGAAATCTTTCCCCTGCAATTTGCTCTGTTTTTTTCCTTAAAAGTTGGGCAGGAAAGTCAGCATAACTCAGGTGGGATCTGAAATGTTCTTGTGGTACAAGAGTGTGCACGAGAAAAGAAGCCTGTAATTTTAGAGCATTCATTCAGGAAGTTTGTATTCTGTTTTCCAGGGAGCCTTTACTTTCCGGGGAAGTATGATCGACATGCCATTACTGAAGCAGGCCCACAACATTGTTACGCTTGCCACATCCATCAAGGAAAAATGATCTGTTAAATGAAGCCCTCCTCAGGCGGGCTGAATGGGTACAGTGGGTTTCTCAAAGACAAGCCACAGTGCCCAGGGTAGCGTGTTAGCATGCCTGATCAGGACCTTATTTCATTTACAGTTCGAGTTAGTCACGACTTCCACCCCCCCACCCCACCCCGTCTTACTGACCAGTTATTCTAAAAATAAACTTTCTTCCTTTAGAGTCTAAGCTCATGGTTTTACTGTCATCTATTAATGTGTTATAAATATGGTTTATTGTTTCATGGGAGGGGAGAAGTTCTCAATGAAATTCTGGCTTGTATATACTTTCCCTACTCTCCTTTTATTAGGAAATATTTCCAATATTATCAATATTATTCATTTGCACAGTGGACACCACAGATAACTTTAAGGTTAAATTTTTAAAGAATAACATCAAAGTTAATGTTTCAGTACGTTTATGAGTGATCCGGTAAACAGCAAAGATGGTATTGAAAATGTTAGGTATTACATTACCTTATAAAAGACAGCTTCTGAAAAACAAAAGTCAAACTTCCAAAACTGACCCCCCCGGGGGAGCCCACTGTCCCCCAAAGACTCTATCCATATGGCGACCCTGAAAGTTCTCCTCTTGGCCAACAGTTACTGGCAATTAAAAAACAAAAACCAAATCAGGGGAAACAAGACCTGTCCCTTCTCCCCTTTATCTTCCTGTAGGGCCAAGATAGGACTCCCTCAGCCATAAACTTGTATGTCTAGAGGACACAAAGCCACAGGGCTGGTGCATATGGCCCCCTGTAAGATTTGCATCACATTAGAGATGAGGCTGTGGGTCATATGGGTGGTGTGGTTAACGGGCTTAGTAAAGCTGTTTTGAAGAGGTTAACCCAGCTTGTAGGCAGGGTAAACAAACATAACAACCAGCCATTGTTCTGTATTCAGCGTGCACTCTTATATTGAAGGCGAAAGGGTATTGAAACCTCAGAGGATCAACTTGTGAGTGCCAGAGGACGCCAGTGAAGTTTGAAACACCAACAAGCGGAGATTTTGTTTCTCTTCCTCATTAAATCATGAGCTTTTGTGTGGAGACTTCTGGACTACTGTTCTTTAAGAAATTAGCAGAATGGGAAGTTTAAAACTCCACACCAACCTTTTCATGACCTACTCAGCAGCATGGCTGCTCCTCCTTGACAAACACCGCAGGGGAAGGCTGTTCTGTTTATTTAAATTTGTAAATAGAAAACAGTTGTTTTCCAGTTTCCTTTCCCTCCTCCTCCCTGGGCCCTTTTGCTGTGTTCTCTCCATGGCCCCCAGGCGTGTGCCCCAACCAGGGGCCCACTTTTCACCCTGATCCTTTTCAGTTCCTGCAGAAAGCCCTAGGAGGTGGAGGGCATATCATTACATCAATGCCAGGCCAGAAGCCACAGTTACCACCACCACTGCCATGATCCCCAGTGCAGGGCAGGAAGGGGGGGACGATCTTTCTCACTGGCGTGAGACTGAAGCAGACCAGAACTGATAGATAAATCTAGAGAAACATGTTCTTGAGACATGAATATACACAAGCAGGAAGCCTGAGGGGCTCGCTTGTGAACAGGGATGAGGCCTGCCCGGCCAGTGCCGCTTGCTCTGGACCCTGTGTCTGGCCTTCCCCGTGAAGGCCCTCATTAAGAACTCATCATTCCTCGCTTGGGCTGCCCCTTGTTACCCCAGAGTTTCTGGAAAGGTCTGTGGGAGTAGGGAAAGGCTGTCCTCCTGAGGGTGGTGCTTCAGGACAGCAGACAGGGGGTAAAGAGTAGGGCGAGAAGCACCCACATGCTTCTGGAACCATGAAGTCAAGTGTGCACAGGGTCCACACTGGTCTCCCTTCAAAACAAAGATTTAGGAAGACTGCTTACAAGCCAGCAGAGGACAGATGGCCTTGACGTACATGTGAAAACACACACACACACACACACACACTTGTACGTCAGAAACAGCACTGATTCAGATAAGCCTCTGGCTGTGAAAAGATCAGGGATACATGTTCTGGCCTCCACCCCAGCAATTCGGGCAGCCCCTAAGCTCACACAGTTTTGGGCCTCCTCAAGCCAGGACCTCCTTCTGAGTAAGCCCCTCCTTATTATGTGGTAGAAGCCATGGGGTCCTCAAGAAAAGGAACCCTTCCAGGTAGTACTGAGAGCTGGGCCCAGTGAGTCCTCCCAATCCACGGCAACAGGGCCATGGACTCCTACCGTGTTGGACTATCTCTGAGTCCTTGTTCATACAAAAACACCCTGTTTGGTTCTGGTTTTGACTTTTAAGCAGAAGTCTTGTATCCCAGGTTAACACCAAACTCACGGGACTCCTTTATCAACGTTCTCAGTACTGAGATCACAGTTGCGTACCACCGTACCCAGCCCAAAACCACATCAGGCCGATCATCTTCATAACAGAGAGATCCCATTTATAAGTAGGATCATAAGAGTGAGGCCCTCAGGAGACAGAGATGTGAGCCAATTGCCAGTTCTCTGAGCAGACAAGGGCCTCGACTATCAGAGTCCCGTTGGACCTCATTCCCCAGGAGACAGAATTCTAAAAGACAAGAGAAGCCAGGAGGAAGGTAGTCCACCCCTCCCCATCACATCCCTGGTACCATGAGGAGGTGATAGAGTTGAATGAGCCTACTGAAACCCTGTAGGGACACAGACAGGAAATGTAGTGGGCCTCTGCGCTCGGAAGGAGGCACGGAAGGGGACTTGGCTGCTCATCGGATTAATTAAAAAAAAAAAATACCTGTTTATATTTTTGTGTAGCTCATGGCAGCCGCTTTGCCATATCACTCACCCCCCCCTTGTTATTAATTCTAGGGGGCTAAATTATGGATAACACTATTAAAACATTATCAGAACTAATGAGAAACAATTACTTAGAAAATGAGCCAGGACAAGATTGAGCTGAGAACATCAGCGGTTGATCGCCACAGATTAGTTTAATAAATCATCAGGTGCGAAGCAAGACTGACTGAATCGACGCAAAGCCTCGTCACGGGAAAATGAAATTGCGATTTTTTTGCATAATTTTTTCATTAATCTCAATAGGACCCGTGTGGTGTAGATTGCTTTATTCCTTTAATACCTTGCCCGAGGGGGGGGGAGCCCAATAATGTCTTCATTGTTTTACTGAGGTCTTAATGACTATCTGTGACAAACTCATTTTAATGTATAGAGGATCATGTCTGTTCAGTCATGTTTTATTGAAAGGGTGAGGGGAATTCGGGCTGGATGAGACCGCAAGTTAAAGAGTTTCTCGAGCCTTGCCTTCAGTGGTCCACGCTGCCGGCCGGGCTGGCCCCCACTGCTCTAGAGACAAGCCAGGAAATAGTGTTCCGGGGAATGAGCTTCACCGCCTGTAGTTTGGATTTGAAAGTCTCTGATTGCCTGGCATATTTTGCTGGGTAAATAGAACCAACCATGCGGTGTTCCGCTCTTTAAAATAGAAGTCATTATCGCCTGGAACACCTTTGCACTCAATAGTTAGTTGTGTGGGAGCTAGGGAAACTGACTTTCTTTAGACGCTGGAATTCTCTAAGTTGCCACAAGGAGAGGAGAGAATGCCAGCTCTCCACCCCCCCCCCCAACTCTTTCTCAGGACATTCTGCTTTTAGAGCTTACATTTATTTTGCAATCTGAATCCTCTGTGTTTTTTTTTACCCCCCCCCCCCCCAGTGCTAGAAAAGCAATAGAAGGAACAAAACAGGTCAAAACGGGAAAACTTGTGAATATTAATACTGGCGGAGGTCACGGGACGGGTCTGTAAATGCAGGAGTTGGGAACAACGACCTTCTCCTGGGGGCGCCCCCTGCAAGGCCTTCACTTTGCAATTTAGGGGAAGTAATTACCTGACCCTAACATTGAAATGCTAAAGCCTAACTCTTCTTTCTTTCCACTCTCTGTTCTAAATCGAGGCGGGGGGGGGGGGGGGCGGGACGGCTAAGAAAAGCGACCGAACTGAAAAGGAACTCACTTTCGGATACCCAGCTCAGTGCCTCTAAAACTTACAGCAGTGTGACCCGGCAGCTTTTCGCACTTCTGTCGTGATGACTTTTGTCGTTGGTAGGTAGAGACGGTTTGTTTAGATCCCAGTAATTGTTTGACAGCACACCTCCTTCAAAATCCAGTGGCGCAAAGCAAGCGCTGGAAAGGCACCGGAATCCTCCCCGGGGGCGCAGAGTTTGTGACGATCCACTCAGTTTCATCGAGCGGGATATTGCGTTTTGAGGGGCTATGTAACTGGTGTCCTTCACATATATAGATATATTTCCTTTATTATTTTTTTTTTCCAGTGCGACTGACTGTCTTTTCCTTTCACTCTTCCCTACGGGACGGACGGGCAAGGCGAGCCTGGCAGCGGCGTGCCGCTTAGGAAAAGTGCCGTGCCCAAGTGGTCAGATCAAACACGCAGTTGTTCCGTCCCGCGCCACTCACTCACTGGCTGAGCTCAACGCGTGGTCATTACCCTTGGGCAGAGACCAGCAGGCTCCGGGCACCCATTCGGAAGCTGCTGCCCTTCCCTTCGCGATGAGTTAACGCGCGTGCAGCAGTGCTTGGCGCGCGCGGGTCGGGGTGGGGGGCGGGCGGGCAGTGGCCGTCGGGGCCAGGCCCGGGCCGCATTGGAGGGATTCCAGTGGCCCAGTGGCCAGGACTGCAGGCCTCCCGGACCCGCGAGCCTGTCGCGCAGCCAGGCTGTAATGGTACAAGATCAAAGGCTGCCCCGTGTCCCCGCGGAGCCAGGGACAATCCCTCGCCTTTGTGCGCGGTTGCTAGGAGCCAGAGAAACTAAGAGAAAGTGTCAGGAGCGTGTTAATCAGACTCGTTACAGTGTAACAATAACGTCTCTCTCGGGGCTCCTGGGCCCCTGCGCACCCCGCGCACAGACCGGACACCTGCGTGGGGCCCACAGCCGGTACTGGGGACCCGCCGCCTGAATGTGTCGCCAACACCGAGGTTGGCACCTAGGCCACGCGCGAAAGACAAATTCTGGGGAAGCCTCCAATTCCTGGCGGCGAGTCCTGTGGGTCTTGATGCACTGGTTCTCTTTAAAGATGACCGGATTTGTGGGCCAAAGAACCTGGAAGAAGCCAGGTCTTCTGCCTTTTCAACCGTTCTC